ATATGTTGTTACTAAGTTGTGCCGATTTGCGATAGGTGCCCATCCATCATTTGATTGTAGGTTTGGCTCTTTTCCAGTTTCCCCTTTGATTTTTTTCTGAAACTCAATTTACAAAAGTCTGTTTAAATCAATTTACAAAAGTCTTAAGATGGTCTAAATAGCAGCAAAACGTGCCTGCGTCATGAAGTGAACAGATTGTTACAGTATATTTTAATCATACTGTTAGATAATTACAATTATATTTTGTAAATTTACGAGGTGAATGGGAAACTGGAAAAGAGCCGTGGGTTCAAATGACACGTGCTTTCTAATTTGGCGATCAGCTCTTAAAAATTGCAATAGGTTAGTTTAAATCAACATTTTCAACCTGGGCTAGGCCTCTTGGCTCTTTTTCCTTCCCCCACCACCTGCAAAAAAAATACAAGTAAAAATTTTGTTCCCTTTGCTTGATTGTTATGAAAATTGAAATACGGACTACTTAGGTTATGACAAACTTATTTGGTCTTCTTAATTAACCTTGTAAAAAACAACTCGCTCGTTACACCAAAAAATTCATGTTTCGTCTGAGGTGTGGGGGGGGGGGGGGAAGGGTGGGTGTGGAAAGGAAAAAGAGCCGGCTAGGAAGGTAATTAATGCTCTGCTGGTTCGCTAAACCTGAAGTCGAACATCACCTCCTTCTGCGATAGCCATATCGAAAAAAAATGTTGGTAGGATGCTACCCACTGACCCTTGGACTCAAGGCTGTTTCTAATCTGACTTCGTGCATAGCTTAGCTGGTCTTGTCGAGCTATGACCTAACCCTTTCGAGCTATGCCAAACCCAACCTTCACAGCGACTCCAGATTAGAAACCTCTCATCTGGCCTCACCAAGATTCGAACCAAGGACCTCGGTCATATGGGCGAGCATCCTACCACTTGTGCTATTCGCACCTGGAAGCCAGGAGATAGATTCGATACTTGAACCAATCCGTGCAAACTTTAATTTCTTCTGTGAATAACGTGCTGCCTAATATTTTTCCGGCTTACCACATCTTTCCTTTTAAAGAGAGCTCGGCTCTTTTTCTTTTCTTTTCGAAAAAACTAATTTTACGTTGTCATAAAGTGGCATGGTGAAATGAATTTTGCATGGTGAACAAATAAAAGCTCTTTTCCATCCCCCCACATTTGAAGTTTTCTGTTTTCGTAGTTGTCTTACGGGTTATTATGGCTAAACGTGTGATGTCACGAAGTAAGATATGAAAAACAAATGTGTCACAACAATTGGTTGGTTCACCATGCAAAACTTCAATGCATTGTGAGAAAGCAAAAATAGTTTTTTAAAACTGAAAAAAAAAACATGAAAATAAAATCTTTGAAATGTCGGGGGAGAGCCGTGAAAGTGATTTGCAAGTAGCATTTTGATTAAAGCTGTAAATTTTTGCCTCCAGGTCAGACCGAGAGACGAGGCAACAGTGATAGACGCCACGAAACATGCGCACAAGATCCAATGTGAGAATGCAGATGAAGTTTACCTGAGGTGGAAGGATGGAGTAGAGCACCAGTTCAGAAAGAGGTGCAAGAAGTGCAAACTGCTGCTATTCTACAGACACAAAGCAGACGACACGCTCACTTTATTTGTAATCAAGGTATGATTATCTGGATAAGCTACCTCTTTCACTGCCCTCCCTCAACCCACCAGAGTGACTTGACATTTACCATTCATGGGATGGGGTGCAAAACAGGAGAACTTAAACAATCATCTCCTGCCATATCGAAAAAAAAATTGCCATACTGGTAGGATGCTACCCACTGACCTTTGGACTCAAGGCTGTTTCTATCCTGCCTACGCGCACAATTCAGAGGGTTCCTGTAAACCCAACCGAGTGTGCCTATCCCAACCATCCCAACACGTGCAGATCGAAACTTCTCGTCTGGCCTCACCAAGATTCGAACCAAGGACCCTGGTCTTTTGGGCGCGCATCCTACCATCGGTGTAACTCAAGAGATATATTATATAGTTGAACCAATCAGTGAAAATTGGGTCTTTTCCAATAGCTCTTTTTGGGTCTTTTCCATTATAGTCTCCCAGTAAATTATAGCCCCCAACCTTTCGCATTAATGCCCCCACCCCCGCCCGAACGTTCCAATTATATACACACTATCCGTACTGATTTTTCTACTACATATATTTTGAAATTTATTTTAATGGAAACATTTCAATTATGATATTAAGTTGATTTATATGGATGACTTCTTTTTCGTGAACTGAATATTGATTGAGTATCAATTCAAGCTGCCTCACCTTGGCCTCACCTAGTTAATTTTATATCATTTGTCAGTTGATTTGGGGAAAAGTTTGGGGGGGGGGGTTAAAAATTTTTTTGAAACAAGACTGGGAGGCTATAATGGGAAAGACTCCTCTTTTTCATTGAGCGTTGGATGAACATCTTGTAAACTACCGTTTTCTCCACCAGATGTAAACATACTGAAACTTGTTAACCATATGTTGAGCAGGAAAAATTTTTGGCTCTTTTCCAGTTCCCCCCTTCCAAATTGAATTTTGAAAAGTCTATTAAACGTTGTCATAATGCAATGAAAATTGGCGTGGTGAACAAATCGACAATTTTGATCAGATTTGTTATTGATACTTCACAGCGTAACATCACGCATTTAGCCGTAATAACACGTAAATCAAACATAAAACTGGGTATTTTGAAGGGGGAACTGGAAAAGAGCCAAAATTTTAAAGGGCTAACCATGAGGACCAATTATATTTGTCTTAGTATAATTAGTCTACATGCAGATCTTATTACAATCGGAAACTATTTTCCACTCACCCATTTTTCACAATATCAATTTTTATGTTTGTTTTGCGCGTTATTAAAGCTAAATGCGTGATGTTACGATTTCAGGTGAGAAGAACAAATCTAGGCTTTTTTCTTCTCCCTCACTTGGCTTGAGCGTCAACTAATGGTTTACTGGGTTAAGTATGGAGACCAACTACGATTGTCATGGGCCATGACAATCGTAGTTGGTCTCCATACTCATGGCCAAATTAGTCCGCGTGGGAGTTTTTGTATCAATCGGACAATGCGGACAAACATTTTGCTTGTTCACCATGCTTAATTTCATTGCGTGACATGCTTAAATAAGCTTTTCAAAATTGAGTTTGAAAGAAAATGTGACTGGAAAAGATCCCTATCAAACGATATCAACAGATAATATGCCGCCCTTTTCCAGTCTCCCACTGATTTTTTTTCCGAAAATTTGCTTTACAAAGGTCTATTTAAAATTGTTTTTGATGTTCTAAACTGTTTAAAAAAACGTCAGCATGAACAAGTGAACCTATATTTTGTAATTTTACGTGGAGGTTGGGAAAATGGAAAAGAGCCCAATTTACTTTTAAAAATCCGCAGGTGGGGGAAAAGTAAAAAGAGTCGTGAGAGGAACTGTAAAGAAGCCAAAAATTTAATATTACTTCTTAGTCGGGTTGTCTGACTGAGATTTAGCGTAGAAGTAATCTCTCAAGCTGTTCAGCCCCCCCAACCTACAACACACATCCATGGGCTTTTTTTCACTACCCCACCTTTCAATTTCAGTTTTGGAAAACTACTTGAACGTTGTTATAATGCAATGAAACTCGGAAGGGTGATCAAACTAACAGTTAAGAACCAATTTGTTGTTCATACCGTACATCATAGCATTACATCTTTGGCCATCATAACAAATAACACATAAAGCAACCATGTAAATTTGAAAAGTAAGGATAGTGGAAAAGCTTGGTCTTCATGTTTCACTTTTTGAAACCTCGATCCAAAATAAAATTGATGCTCATGCAGGGGACACAATCACTTCAAAACAAGCATATCTGATCCCCTTGTTGGTATTTATGTTTCGCGGTGGGGACATAGGGGGAGCTCATTTCCACTTCCGCGCCGCGATTTTCAATAACATCATAACATAACCATTTACATCGTGACATAACGCACGCATTTATCAATAATAAAACAAAGACTATCGGAACTTAAAAGTTTTTAAAATGCTGTTATTTTTACACATGCGAGCATAGTGCTATATTACGAATTTATATTAGGAGTCGATGAAAGTAGTTCGGGCTCTTTTTCCTTCCCCCCCCCCAACAGCGAAATTTTAATAGTAAAATTTTGTTCTCATCGGATTGTTAGAAAAATTGGTATGCGGACTAATTAGGCTATGACAAACATATTTGGTCTGCATACTTAACCTTGTAAAACCCCTCGTTACAACATAAAATTGATGTATATGTGAGGTGGGGGGAAAGGAAAAGGAGCCGTAGTTCAGACTCTTATATAGGTCGCAATATTTATTTTGTGCTTTTCGCGGTTTGACTTTGGATTTCTGATGTAAGTTCAGTTCATTTCCTTTCTTAAACATGATCGACCTCTAGTTTTGAAAGTAGGATTTAGTTTGCAGACTTCTCATCGACTTCCAGAAATTTAAAGAGATTTAAGGGCATCCATTTTTTCTTTGAAATTCGAAAATTAAAAAAATCAGTAATTTTTTTTCGGTTTATTGTTCCGACTTTCGATACGAAAGTAACGGAATATTTGTGCTCGGGGTGGGTTTTTTTCAGACAAATTTAACTAGCCATTTTTGACGGAATTTTTTTATATCATTCAAAAGGTATTTTTGTCCTGACCTTAAATTTGAAAAGATATTTCACCTGTGATCATTTTTCGTAAAGTTATGGGGGTTTAAAGATTGCCATTTTGGCCAATTTGGGCCAGTTACAGTTAAAGCGCGATATATTTCGCGCCATAAACGCGTAAGCGGAGATTTAATCCGTCTTAGAAATCGTTCCAAATTGGTTTAAAGAAGCTTATTTGCCATAATTGATTTGTTATAAGGAGGGAAATCTATTCTTTTGTAGTTTATATGGCGTGTGGGGAGATGATTTTCATTTAAAAAAAGTTTCAAATTTTAGAAAAAATTTTTTCGTTTTCTTCTTAAATTTAATTTGTTAATGATATGATGTTATTACTGCTCCATAAATCTGAAAAGGCAGTCGGAACATTCAGGGCTTCGCCCTGACACGACCAGTCTTGTTTGCTTTCATTGACTCTTGTCTAACTATCTGCTGGCTATTTTTAAATGTTACGGCTCTTATTTTTCCCTTATCTCGCTCAAATATCAAAATTATAGTGTAACGAATGGTTTTACAATTAAAGTATGCTGACAAAATCTGTATGCCATGGCTCTAATTAGTTCGCATATTCATTAGATTCGGAAATTGTAAAGAAATATTTAACTTTCGCGGGAGAGGGGGAGGTTAACAAAAGTTTGCAGGTGGGGTAAAAGGATAAATAAGGAAAAATAGTCAGTATTACTTTTTCCAAACCAATTTGCATAATTAGTGCTCAGTTTTGGTGGGAATTTTAAAATTTCCTTAGTCTATCGTATCCAAAGATGTCCATTTCAAAGGAAAGGAATTTAAATTAATTCAAGTTTTCTTTTAAACTTTGAGTGAGCTCAAAATTGAACATTTAACTAAATTAATGTTTAAAAGAAAACTTGAATTAATTTAAATTCTTTTCCGTTGAAATGGACATCTTTGGATACGATAGACTAAGGCAATTTTAAGGCAATTTTAAAACAGTTAAAGCGCGATATATTTCGCGCCATAAACGCGTAAGCGGAGATTTAATCCGTCTTAGAAATCGTTCCAAATTGGTTTAAAGAAGCTTATTTGCCATAATTGATTTGTTATAAGGAGGGAAATCTATTCTTTTGTAGTTTATATGGCGTGTGGGGAGATGATTTTCATTTAAAAAAAGTTTCAAATTTTAGAAAAAATTTTTTCGTTTTCTTCTTAAATTTAATTTGTTAATGATATGATGTTATTACTGCTCCATAAATCTGAAAAGGCAGTCGGAACATTCAGGGCTTCGCCCTGACACGACCAGTCTTGTTTGCTTTCATTGACTCTTGTCTAACTATCTGCTGGCTATTTTTAAATGTTACGGCTCTTATTTTTCCCTTATCTCGCTCAAATATCAAAATTATAGTGTAACGAATGGTTTTACAATTAAAGTATGCTGACAAAATCTGTATGCCATGGCTCTAATTAGTTCGCATATTCATTAGATTCGGAAATTGTAAAGAAATATTTAACTTTCGCGGGAGAGGGGGAGGTTAACAAAAGTTTGCAGGTGGGGTAAAAGGATAAATAAGGAAAAATAGTCAGTATTACTTTTTCCAAACCAATTTGCATAATTAGTGCTCAGTTTTGGTGGGAATTTTAAAATTTCCTTAGTCTATCGTATCCAAAGATGTCCATTTCAAAGGAAAGGAATTTAAATTAATTCAAGTTTTCTTTTAAACTTTGAGTGAGCTCAAAATTGAACATTTAACTAAATTAATGTTTAAAAGAAAACTTGAATTAATTTAAATTCTTTTCCGTTGAAATGGACATCTTTGGATACGATAGACTAAGGCAATTTTAAAACTCCCACCAAAACTGAGCACTGAATATGCAAATTGGTTTGGAAAAAGTAATACTGACTATTTTTCTTTATTTATCCTTTTACCTGCAAATCGATTTAATTTATTTCCGCGTGGACATCACTGGTTCTATAGTTTGCCCAAACGTCATTGATAAATAACTTGTTTAAATTATATTGGATAGTTTATCTAGTTCCTATCATGTTGTGAACTTGTTTGGAGAAAAAATTCGTTCTTTATTTCTAGGGCTCAGTGCAATTAGAAACAGATCCGACCGCAACTGGTGAAGCATCAACATCAGCACAATCTTCATCCTCTGCATCATCATCATCAGCTGGTGTTGGTGGTATTACCAAGAGATCGGTGTACGACCAGATAGACAAAGACGAGGCAGCTAGAAAGAGGAGTAGCAAGGTGTTGGTGAAGAAACACGTGCATGACAAGGGCAAAACTGGATCAGTGACTGTGTCCACAATTGAAGACGAGGAGGATGAAATTGAACAGAGGGAGATTGCTGACTCGTGAGTGGAGTAGTTCACACTTTAAATAGCAGTTGTCGGTTATTATGCTGCCTGGTCGCATCTGCAAGGCACGCCAAAACTTCCTTCCTTAAGCCTTAAAATAATTTATTGGCTTAAAACTAAAAGTTTTCGGTTTAAAAACATTATCGGTCTTCATGCATTCATACATAACCGAAAAATATAACTTTCTCTTTGAATTTTTCGTGTGTACCCAGGCGGCAGGGGGCAATTAAGTGCGACAAAAAGGACATGTGTTTGACCTGTCTCCGTATTCACGAGCTTTAATTAAAATAGAGTTCAGCCCGAAGTATAAAAGTCACTACTTTGTGCCTATAAGTTTCTCAAATTGGAGAAGGTGAAAGATATCAGGAAAGAGCCAAAATTCATGAATTTGGTGCTGTGTCATAATTTACGGTTTGTTTAGCCGGAGATGTTTTTTTACGCAATGTCCGTGTAGTGGGACATCTACGTTCACCTCGAACAGGCGCGGATCTAGGAATTTCTCGAGGGGGGGGGGGGGGTAGAATTTTCAAAAAAAACTAAAATTTTTCTCGACCTTTTTTTTAGGTTGACCAAATTGATTTTCTGAGCTCTCCCAAATCACTATATTGACCAAATATCCCCCCCCCCCCCCCTAAGTCCGCTACTGGCCTGGAATATTAAAAATCGGCATGAAATGCTTGGTAGATTTTCTGAATTGAAGATTATTTTCTATCTCTGACAATTTTTGCATTTAAAAGCCGTCGTATAGTGCAAAATAAAATACAGCCTGATAATCTGGTAGTGTGACATAACGACATAAGGTAAAGTGTCTGATTATGTAAAACATGGAGTTCGTTCTAGGTACGCGGCGAATGCCAAAGTGGTGTATCGAATGATGGAGGCGAAGGGACTGTTGAAGAGGAAGATGGCTCAGCAGGCGGCCATTGAGGACCAGCACAAGAAGTACAAGGGAACCCTCATCGACAATCTATTCAAGTGAGAGAGAGAGAGAAGAGGGCAGATGCCATGTCTGCCGGGCATCAAGATACTCCCGGTGGAGCCAAGACACAATTCCATAATTCCAGGCACTTTTAGAAGTGTATACCATCGTACTTCTCTCTCTCTCTCTCTATCCACGCTAAGATCCGTACGCGGGCTTCAACATGGGATATCAAAGAACTTTGAATGCGTGAAAAGGCTGATTTTGCAAGACAATAGAATATGGTGTTTAAAATTTCTTCTGTGATTTAGTCGTAAGCATCTAGATTTGTTAGCTAGAATTTAATTTTGTGAAACATTATACACCTTTTAATTAATTTAAGTTTTAATTTATTAAAGTTGTTTTCAAATCTTTTTCTCAAATTGACATTGTACATTCTTTCAGATAGATGCTAGCTTTACATTTTATCATATGCAAAACATTTGTACGCAATACAAGTAAACCTTGATCTGCAATCTGATTACAGCAGTGCAATTATGAATATCGAAGAGCTTACGACGAATGAGCCTTGAATGATATCGCGAATTCTAACTTTATTCTGTCGTCAACATGGGCGTTGATCTCTTCTTTTATGGAGTATTTTTCGCTTTATTTACACGCGTACAATCAGAAACGGCGACAAGTGAAACTTCTGGATCACATGTACATGCACAAAGCTATAGTGAGTTGTTTTTCAAAATCTTTTCTTAATACGCACAAAAAAAATTGAAGTAAAATCACCTTAACTGAGCTAAGGTAGAAAAAAAATTAAGTTTTACCGTAATTGAGTGTTGTAAATTTGAGTGAAATTAATGGAAGCCCCAGAGCCAAAGTTTTGATGAAAAAACCAAACATCTGATTTTCGTAAAGTGTAAGGTATTTTTGAAGGTTATTTTACCTTAACTTTTTTGATTTTCGAATGATTTTCATTTAAAAGCGCATGAAAATACGCTGACAGTATATTAGACGCATGTAAAAGAAGTTACGTTCTCTAGTAATGAAAATGAAAATGGCGCGAGAATCGAGAACGATTACTGGCTTCAAAAGTGGAGTTTAGTTTGGGTGTTATTGCAGAAAAATATATATCTATTGATCCAGTGTTTACCATTGCGATAAGCAAGGGTATAGCAAATGAGATGGTAGTTTTTTTCCATAGAAAATTTTGTTTGCAGGATGACTGAAATTGGTCGCGTCCAGACAATTCAGTCAAAGACAATTAAGCCGATTTGAAATACAGACAATTCAGCCAAAAGTATGCAGACAATTCAGCCAATAATAGTGACCGCCGCAATCGCGTCAAGGTTTTGCGAGCTTGCCATCAGAGGGTAGGACTCTATACGAAATTTAGAGCCGGTTATCACCATCGGCGACCTTAAACCGAGAAATAACTCCAATTCCGATTTTTTTCTTTCGAATCTAGCGTTTTGTAAAACAGGCTGAATTGTCGGTATATTTTTGGATGAATTGTCTGATTTTCAAATTGGCAGAATTGTCTGATTTTCAAATTAGCTGAATTGTCTGTGCGTCGAAATTAGTCAAGTTTTTCAAATGTGTTTTCTTATGTAGTACTACTATCTTGTTCTGAAATTTTTGCAGACAATTAAGCCAATAAAGTATGCAGACAATTCAGCCAATAATAGTGACCGCCGCAATCGCGTCAAGGTGTTGCGAGCTTGCCAACAGAGGGTAGGACTCTATACGAAATTTAGAGCCGGTTATCACCACCGGCGATCTTAAACCGAGAAATAACTCCAATTCCGATTTTTTTCTTTCGAATCTAGCGTTTTGTAAAACAGGCTGAATTGTCGGTATATTTTTGGATGAATTGTCTGATTTTCAAATTGGCTGAGTTGTCTGATTTTCAAATTAGCTGAATTGTCTTTGGCCGAATTGTCTGTGCGTCGAAATTAGTCAAGTTTTTCAAATGTGTTTTCTTATGTAGTACTACTGTATCTAGTTCTGAAATTTTTGTCGACCATTTTGATTTTACCTTATTTGGATTTCGCATTTTTTATTTTGATTTTTTTTATTATCGTGTCTGAATGCAATCAATTTTTCTTGCCTTTTTGCTTAGACGGATTTTTAGCCAGAGTTCGTACAGATTTAGGACAAGTGTTTTTGTGTTAATTTTTTGAAAGTTTTTTTTAAAGATATGAGATTTCACTTTTGGTTTTACTTCCGCTTCAATTTTGGTTTTACTTTAAGAGGGATTAGCCTTAAGGGGATCTATTTGTTGGCTTATAATTTTATCCGCTTCGCCTCGACGTGTGAAATGCCTCGATCAGTTAGTTTGGTCAACAAATGTGTCAATCACAAAGATACTGGATAATCAAAGAGCTTTTAGGTGACATATTTTTCTTTTAACTCGAAATTTGAATTTTTTTTCAGAGTCAATTATTTTAGGGTGTCTTTGAGTTCAGTGACTCAATGAATCAGTAATCAGTGACATACTCTAGGATTTTTATAGTATAGCAATCGGAGGTCTTGCCTTAAGTTAGCTATTACTTATTTTCCAAAACTCACTCGCTATTCGCTTAGAGCCTCCGATTTCGAACCTGCACTAATTTTATTACAATGAATCCGTACGAATTCGTTCCATTGCCATGTTTTTTCAGACCGTTTCATCAAGGAGCAGAATGCGACGGTGAATAAAAAGTACCATGGCTCAGTGTCGGTTGATGACGACAATGTAGTCTACAAGTTCGAACATGTGCAAGTGGGGGTGCACGAGAACATTCAGATTGAACTGTCGGTGGTCGGTGGCGACTACGATCCAGCTTTGCCACCCCTATTCGCAGGTATTTTATGATTACCATTAATACTATATAGTAGTGTTATAGTACTGTGATGCACTTCGTTTGAGGAAGCTGGTTACCAGATGCCATAAGTCGTCGGTTTGCATCAAGTAGCGGTTCATTGATCCCGCATTTTTGATTCGATAGGAAAATTGATGGCTATTGCCGCAACTACAGAGTCAAGTAGGACAGGGATTTTAGTGTGCAATTTTCAGATCATCATTTTTCCAAATCCGACGGGACTGAAAATCCACTATCGTGTACTGAGTTTTTTTTGCTGCCTTCTTCTTGGTAGCTGGATGTTTACCTGGACCTCTAGATGTTTTTCTTTTCCCTAGAGCAACCTAAGGGAAAGAGCTGCACCAACGTCGACCAAAAAAGTGGGGGATTTTTGAAATAGTAGCTGAGATCCTATGTAAGTGCGGCATTATTCCTGCCTTTTGACTATGATCTAAAGTGGCGTTGTGGCGCATCGGAAGTGATGGTGAACAGCAATCATATGATTGCGGGTTCAAATCGCACGTGCGCTGCAATTTACAAGGTGAGCTGTTGTAAGATAGCTATAGTTTAGCTAAGCTTAAATAATTAACCGTCAGCTGAGGCCTCTGGCTGGTTAACTAAAAAGAAACGTCATGTGTGTTTTTGCAGTTGTACGGACTAGTGAGAACATCATGTCGTTCCAAGTGCCAGTGATGATCGGGGAGAGACTCTACTCGGATGTGTCCCGCACCCTCTGTACTGCCCCGAATGCATCGGAAGAGCTGAACACATTCTTCATAGACTTGTCCACTCTCTCCGCTCGCAGATACAACTTCACTCTATCCACTACAGTCATTGACTCATCCCAGCTCAAGTTAGATTGGTTGTACTTTTTTTCGTTTGTTTTTGCTGAATGTGGTAGCGGAATTAGGAAGAAGCGAATAGGGTACGGGACGGGCTTCCGTTGATCAGGGAACAACTGTCATAGTTTTTAAAGACAGCTTAGACGTTGGTAAAAGTGTTTTCCTTCGAAATTGGATGACGTTTATTTGCTGTGTTACAACGCACTATCGTGAATTTTCTTTTTTAGGGGCACAGGACACGCCCTTCTGCATGTGTCTCCGTCGCAACCACAAGTGCTCTCCTACCAACTGAAACCAGGAGAGGATGAGTCCCACTCGTCAGTGCTGGTGAAGTTCGAATCAGATGACAACTACTGCTCCATTGTGTCTGTCCAGAATGCTCAATGTCCAGTGTATGACCAGGTGGACGATGTGGCATATGAGGGAGTCCATCAGTACTTCACTAAGAAGGCGGGAATCGTAGTGTCGGTTAGTACCACGATGAAAACATTTAATATTTAAGCCTTCTAACCATTCTTTACTCCCGAGTACTTCCAAGACCGCAAGATGTTAGAAGACGATAAGAGAATCCATCAATTTCTTTCTGCGTGGCAACTTTCTTAACTCTTCCAAAGACCGCTGCATCTTAAAGAGACCATATTGGAATAAAGATTTATGCTGGAATAACATTTGCCTGGTATATACAAATTGACTGTCCTTTAACCTCGGACACTTTGATGCTCTAGAGGGTTGTTACAGTTCCTTATTAAACATAATTCTCTCTAACTACGGAGCTACATGTTTTATTGTAATTTAACTTGACATTTAACTTGTTTCAGCGTGAACGACTGAAGTCAGACTGGTTCTTCATTGTTGTCATAGTAGTCCCCACGAACGTCACATGCGACTCCTCCGATTCCCTCTACCCCCTCTCCTCTCCCTTCCTCTTCATGCCCCCCGCGAAGTTTCCCCCCTCCCCCAATGCACACAGTCATATCAGTCTATCTACTAAGAAGAGTGCGGAGTTGTATAAAAAGAGATGGGAAGATGTTTTGAGAATTAATGACAAGCAGTCGAAAAAGGTCACCATCACTATAGTCAGAACTGGCGAGAGTGAGTGCTCTGGTTTTGAAGTCTTAATGTGACTTTTCACGTAATAAGTCCGCGTGTTTTTTTGTTCAGAAGGAATATCATACATAATTTAAGTAAAACGAGTGCAGTTATAACGAAAAATAATCATAGTTATCAACAAGGTTATAAAATTTGAGGACTATTAGGAGAAAGTTTCATTTGTTAGAATTTCATTTTTAGTGTTGTTGCCTTAACAAAATGAAATTGACGCGCATAATCTGCTTGTTTAGAGGAGATCTATTTCACTGCGACTGTGACTGCATTGGTGGCATTCGGATCCTTCTATTTCGTTTTCTTCATCTACGCCCTCGCCCAGTTTTGCAAGTGAGGAATCAAATATTTCAAAACTCGAATTATAAGTGAACGGGGAAGTTAATTTCAGGTTATAGTTTCAAACAAGTAAATTCAAAATTAAATAGTTAATTAACTAGTTAAATTATTTTTTTTTCGTGAGTTTGAAATGCCATGTTGTTCCGAAGAGACAAATCGAAATGAAGTGTATAGACTTTTTAGGATCTTTTTACTTGTTCCATTCAAGTTCGCAAATCTCAAAATATAAAAGCAGAAATGAAAATGCTCTAATCTGATTAGTTCCAAATACTGTTGGAAAAACGCATTAAAGTCACTAGTGGATCGCTTCTAAGTAAAGTGGGCGGAATAAGTGAAAAGAGTTTGAGTACCCAAATAGCAAAGATCGATTGCTTTCAGAAACAGAGCTCTCCAAGAGCAGTACAGGCGTCAGACTCTGGATCTAGACAACGACTGTGATCCAGGACTGCTGGACTCCACAGTTCCAATTTCTGTATGCGATAGCAACGGAGTCTCGTCATCGATACGAGATATATCACACAGTGCAGTGAATGTGCACTCTGGGAATAGTGTAAGAAGTGGAAGTGCAGTACATAGAAGCAGAGCAATTAGTAACAAAATCGAGTCGTCTAATCAAGGTTCGTGAAGTCAGTGTTCAGTTGTTGATTTAGCTAGACCGCTGCTCAACTAAAACCGGGGAATGTACCATCATGTAACAGTCGTTCAGATTGCACAATTTCACAACGAAAACCCAATGAATTTCGTTGAACTGCCACACGCGACGAAAGAGAAATTAGGTCCTATAGTCATTGGCTCTAGGCCAGGAACACTAGCTACCGTGCTTCTAGACGTCGATACGTTCCGAAACAATCTAAATGTGGTTCAAGGGCAAGTTACAGTTTTTAGGCAACTAATAAAATGTCGCCCACGCTTGCTTAAATTGGATTAGAATGCCCACGTAAAGATCTCGGAGTACCTTAAATACGCGATTACCTTTAAAAACCGGGCTGTTTAAGCCCATGGAGTAAATTTTGCGAACATCACTGGTTTTGATTAAGTGTAAAAGAAAGGAGAGCTTATGATTTATATAGGTCTTGATGACACCTGCGAATGAAAGTGTAATAGTACGAACTTCCTTTTTTTCCAACCTAAGTAGCTAATAAAAAAGAATCGGTAAGCAGTACAATGATTAAAAATTCGATTTCAGAAATTTTTCAACTCAATATATCTAGCAATTTTTTTGAAATGCATAATTTATATATAATTTTCTTTATGCTTTCCAATTTATTACATGCAAAATTGTGTCTTTTTGTATTTGGTGCTGCTTGTACTGCATCAAATTGGCAATTTATTAGCACACATAGCTGAGTTATTTGTGGCTAGTTTTTGGAGATTTTAAGCATCCGTGGCTGAGTGGTTAGTGCGTGAGACCCAAATTTGCTAGGTCGCAGATTCGAATCCGACACGTAGCCGAGTTTTTGCTAATTTGAGGCCTATTTCTACCTTTTCTTATTTCACTTGACAGAGCTGCTTTTTGGTCGTGTTCTTGCAAGTGTTTGCGAAGCGCAGCTTCACTGTGATTTTTTTTCTGGCAAAAGTTCTAAAATGCTCAAATAACTACGGAAGTGCTTTCATACATAGTAATGCATTTGTGAGTACGCTTAGTCATATTTGAGTTTTTTGTATATCACAGTATATCACTTTTTGAGTTTAGTTCAAGTTCATTTGCTGAAAGGTAGGCAATTTTTGTTCTCCGATTACGAAACACAATTGGCGTATGATAAACATGATCGATTTCTAGTTTCGAAAATGGGCTTTAGTTTAGATTTTTTAAAAAGTTGCCAATTGATCCAGTTTTCTTAAGTTGGGTTAATTTCAAGAGCAAAGTTCAATCATGAACAGTTTCGCAATTCGAAGAGTTTAATCTGATATATTTTTTCTTCGAATATTCGCAATGCAAAGAGCTTAACTCGATTTATTTTTTTCTTCGAATATATTTTTCTTTTTTTTTCCGGTTGCCTTGAGTTTCTACACTTTTGCAATCTTCTGTTTGCGATGCTCCATTATGTATTGGTTAACTCTCAAACACACCTAACTCAGCATAGCCGGGAAAAAAAACATTAAAATAAGGGCTTAATTAACAAATCAGGGCATATACGCCTTCAATTTGAGTCTGCGATGAGTTTAAAAGAGTTTGAAAGAAAAGTACGACCCGGCCCGACCGTACACGAATTCTGGTTCGAATGTCTCATTCGGTCCGAATGTCTTTACTGAGAGTGGACATTGATCGGCTGTGATTAATTATGTTTTTAAACATAAATCCACATAATTTAGACACGATTAGTAGCTGTTCTTCATCTGCAGACGGAGACGGAAATGGAGAGAACTACAGGACGGCGGAGGAGAATCTGACAACAGCGGACACAGAAAGACTCGCCACAAACCACCACTGCACATCAGCTACAGGCCACCATCATCACCACAAAGTACTGCTATTCGTAAATTACCTGTTTAGTTTTGAGACTAATTACACATGCTTGGCTTGTGTTATACTATGAACTTTCTTTTTTTTCAACCTAAGTCGCAAATATTGTTGCGATGCAATGTTTCGACAAAGTGTGTGCATTTTGAAAGTTCATTTTGATCAATAACCAGCTTTTCAGTACATCCAATGCTAAGGATAATAACACCGACTAATATATTACAAATAGCATTTTAGCTCCACGGTATCATGGGAGTATACGCATGGAAGGAGAGGTAGGGAAGGAGACCAGCAACAAAAAAAGAGGGTTCGAACCTGGGCAGGCTCGGATGTTTTTAATGAACTTTTTCGTATACTAATTGAAATGCGTCCGCTCTATAAGTTGAGGCATGTTAGTTGGTAGATTTTTTTTTCAAATTGACTGGTACTGTTAATGCGTCATAATTGGCGTGAGTCACTTGAGAAATTTTGTAGACTCGAAGTTTTACTTATTCAGTTTTTCCCAGTAGCCTTATCGGTCATATTTTTGCTTGTGTATGCGAAGTGCAACTTCGCGTCTGTGTTAAATATCTATGTTGTAAACTCGCAAATGATTAAGAAATGAAGAACATCCGTGCTTCGCCAAATTATCCTCCGCTCTTATATAATGTTTATGAATATCAGAATCACCGTTGAAAGTGCTTTGAAATTGTACCGCCCTTAATCCGCGTTTTTCGCAGATTTCAGATAATCCAATTCTATTAAACTTTGCAATTATATAATTTTAAAACACTATCGTAATTTTTTTTGAGACTGACTTTGGTTTTGATGTTTTTTGAAAGTTGCTTGGTCATAGATAACGTGCCGTTAAACCAAAAACGGCCGCGTCAGATCAGTACACAGAAAAAGCATGGTTCATCCGATTAATTTATTGAATTGAAGCCTGCTGTTGGCGCAAAACGGAAACAAAAATGAGATAATTTTACTTTTGCTATGAGTCCCGCAGTTTTAAAATTAATGTTCTAGCTAAGGAAAAATCAATTCTATAATTATCTGATTCCACAAAGAATAGAGCCTTAATGAATACTATTTTCCAAGTTTAATTTATTTTTTGGCCTGTAAAATAATAGTTTTGGTTTAAGGTGGTTTTTCACAATTAGTGGTAAATCCTACTGAGCAAAGAACTGGTAGTCTTTAAGCTGTGTTCTACTATTTAGGGCGTGGTCTATCTGAGTGACCTGGCACGGAAGCGATCGAACACTCTTCAACGAAAATACAGACTATATTTTTGGACACTCCTAACAGTCGCCATATTCTACACTCTGCCTGTAATCTATCTCATGATCTCCTATCAACTCTATTTCGACACTGGCAACCAAGACTTCTGCTACTACAATTTCTGGTGCTCCCAGCCATACTCAGTGTTTGCTAGTTTCAACAGTCTATTTAGCAACATAGGCTACGTTATGTTGGGTGTTCTGTTCTTTTTGATCGTTTACTCGAAAGAAGCGAACTTTAAATTACGAGTATTAATTGACCCGGATTTGCCTAATCGTGGGATCCCAAAACACTTCGGAATCTTCTACGCTATTGCACTGGCGTTATGCATGGAAGGCGTGATGTCTGCATGTTACCATCTGTGCCCAAATGGGTTCAACTTCCAGTTCGACGTGTCCTTCATGTATATTATTGGAGGTCTGGGCACTCTGAGGATGTACCAGAGTAGACATCCGGATGTGAATGCGAATTCACACATGGCATTTATGACGTTCGCAGTTGTCATCGCAATTTCAGTCGTCGGAGTGGTAAGCTTAATTTAATCGCGTTAGTGTATAATTTTTTATTATTTTTATCGACTTATATAATATAAATTGCATAACAAATTACTGAGGGCAAGAAACGCTTGGAAAGGGTAGATACGAGATCAGCTGATGTGCTCTAAGTCTAAACTCGAAACTAATCAAGAAAACTTGCAAGAGTTATTGTTTTAAACTTAATAATATAATTTATTTGATCCGTACATTTTGGCTGTGCGGGGGAGAAAAAACGACAGTGAAAAGAAAAACCGAAACCCATCTATCGGGACAAGAGTCGGCTTGTTACCGCTAGGCCTACATGCATCTTTGAAATAAGAAAGTCAAAAAAATTTAAACCCAATTCAATATAAATTTTTGAAATGTTCTTCCTTTTTTCAATTTCCCAATCCATCTCCCTGACCCTTCCTTTTTTACGAGTCTTAATTGACCCCTTAAATTTGAAAAATTGAGTTTTCTTTGTTAAATTATGAAATGCAGTGACTGTTGTGTTTCATTAATGGGGAAAAAGTAGCCGGAAGTTAACTAACTTTGAACTATCTTTTAGGTGTTCCATGCGCAGAATTGGTTCTGGATACTATTCGTGGTCTGCTATCTGCTCGCAGTTTTCTACGTCACATGCCAAGTCTATTTCATCAGCAAAATCAAACTAGGTAGGTAAACCATATCATTATTTTCGAAGAACGCATAACTTGTGCAAACATAACAGATGGGTCCATAACGACCATACTTTGAATCGAAAATGCATGTTAACAAATTAAATTTGCTGTATCGAAAATACTGAATGTTAAGGCTTGCGATTAGCAAGCGTTATCAAACCGGAATAAAGACTTTTTTGGGTTAACAACTTGTTTAACAGAATCACTTGTATCTTAGTTCATATTGAAGTCAAACTTCTATGCGTTTACGGCCAAATTAGCCTGGAGGTGACGAATATGCCTGGTACGGCATATGTTCTGGGTTCAAATATGATCAGGACCTGTTTTTTTTTTTCAAACGGGAAATATTCTGTTTCAATTAAATTTAACGCCAAATTATTTGTCTGTTTTTCCGTTGTTGGCGTAGTTGTAAAAACTTGGAATCGTTTTTTGCTGCGTGCATTTTTCTTCAATGTTGTTTTAGTGTTTGATTTGCTCCTACAATTAGTATTTTTTCCTACCTTGACTTCGTATATCCATCGTTTTTTTAGCTCGCTAAAAAAATTCCTCGGCCCAAATTGTTTCGGACTATTTTTTATCGACCTAAATTTGGGTCGCTTCAAATGATACACAGTTTTAACACTCCCCTCTGCGCTTTTCAATTTGGTTGTATGTTTACCAATCGGTTTGTTGAAACTACTTTTTTTTGTTATGGAAAATTATTTCCAAATTTATTGGAAAAGGTATAGTTTTTCTCAGCAATTTCTACTGATTTCCAAACAAGGGGTATCAAATGAAAAACCGCCTACTCCCCTGTGTGCCTGCATACTCATCTAGAGTCTCTTTACTTGACCCCTCTGTCTACGTCCTTGGAAAAAGTCTGCGGGGGAATATTTGACCCATATCCCAAAACTACTTATCTCAAATCTAAGTTTTTGGTTTCAATGAGTAGGACGGTTATCAAAAGCTCCCTGCATAAGCGCGTTCGCCCAAATTTGTCTACATATGAAGTTATTGTCCTCGGAATAGCCAAATTTTTTAATTTTGACCATTTTGTGAATCTTTTTCACTTTTCTCGAAAACTAACCTCTCAAATCTGAGATTGCGGATTCAATAGAGATAACGAGTAGTGTTAAGCTCCCCTGTCTTGGCCAGCGGCCACTCACAATGTTAACACAAAATGTTATAACCAGCGAAAAGGTCAAATTTTTGATTTTTTAACCGTTTTTTGAACTTTTTGAATACTCTCGAAAACTACCTTGCCTTATCTTAGATTTTGGGTTCAATTCAAAGAACGGGTTGTGGGAAGCTCATTTGCTTATGCGACTGCGCCCAAATATTTTGAAATCAAAAGTTATAGCAATCGGTAAGTCAAAATTTTCTCAAAAACTAATCTCCCAAATCTGAGTTTTTGAATCCCTTCCGCATAGCGGCTACGTCCTGTTTTCCACACAAAAAGGTATGATTCTCGGAAATTTCAAAAAATTTTGTTGACCATTTGTTTACTGTTCTTGCTAATTATCCTGCCAATCCTGATGTCATAGATTTAATCGAAACAGCAGGTTGTTGAAAGTCTACTTTTACAGTTGGCTGTGCCCAGTTTGTTTAAGAAAAAAATACGGTTTTCAAACAAGACAAAGTTTTGAAACTTTGACAGTTTTGTTGGACACTTTTTGACTTAGCGCGAAAACTACTGTGCCAATTCTCAGGTTGTGTTCAATCGAGAAACCCGGTTTTGCGGCCACAACTTTTGACTGCTGGTTTTTAGAAACTTTTTGATTTTCCTGAAGTTCACACAATCAAATTTAAGGTGAAAATTTCAAATGAAGGAACTGGTTGCGATAGTAATTCCTGCGGAAGCGGCGACTGTTTAATTTTTTGTACGATGAAAGTTATCTCCTTGATTGATTATCTCTAAAGTTTTTGCTCTTCTCACTGATTTTAGTAGAGAAACAACTAAGGTTTTGGGCAAAGTCTAATTTATGAAATCACCTTTTTCGCGCCGCATCATCATAGCCAGTTCATTGAATATCAAACACGTACCTACAGCTTTAGCTGGGCCCCTAGTTGTTTTTTTTTATCAAGACATACGAAAACTTCGGTTCACCTAGTTTCTTTCAACATTTAAATATTTTTTCGATATGTTTTTTTTATGTTTCTGTTTTATCGCAAGTGGTGCGAAGCTCAGTCTTGCCTCTGTGTTAAAATTCACAAGTTTTCGGTTTTTTAAAAAATAACTATAAAGTTGGATCCACGGGGCTTGGCAATCTCCCTGAAAGATCAGATCAGTCCCTCCTGAGAGTAGGATCATTAATGAGCCAACCAGATAGTTTGTAAAGATTTTTGTCAATCGGGATTTCTGGCATGAGAACAGCCCACTTTCTTGACAATCATTTAGGCGTTTGCATTAGAAAACACTGATCGCACCGCACCATCTGTGATATATTCGAATCAAGTTACTATATTTTATCACATTGTTTGCTGTATTTCAGACTGGAAGCTGTTCCATCGGATGTTGACCTTCGTACGGAGGGAGTATTGTGTGATTAAGCCCTGGAGACACTACCTACCCAACAAACCGGTGAGTGAGAGAGAACGTGAAGTTGTGTTCCAAGAATTTTTCAAATTCTATCAAAATTGATGTTTTTTTTAAATTTCAGGACCGATTCATTCTGCTGACTATTGGAAATATTGTCAATTGGGCCATGTAAGCTACATTTCAAGTTCAACCTTGTTATAAGATACGTATTTTCTTAGTATGAGATTTTTCCATTTTTCGTATCTTTGTCTTTGCTGAATTAGTCAAACTATGTTATGAAGGCTGAATGTTTATAGTGGAGTTTTTAACCGGCAGACTAAGTTTATCGCAATCGGGCTATGGGATGAAAAGTTTAACTGTTAAAAATGGATCAAATTTATATATGGGGAAAGGGGTGGTAATTTGAGAAAAAAAATTGGGCCATTGTTTGATCATTTGATAATAGTTAATTTGACCTCGTTTTTAGCGGCGTTCTGGGCGTGATCAAACAGCCGACCAGCTTCGGCAGTCTCCTGTTGTCCATCTTCATCGTGAATCTGCTGCTCTACTTCATGTTCTACATCATCATGAAGCTGAGGTTCAAAGAGAGAGTGCACTACTTCACTGTGTTCCTGGGCATGTTCGGATTCTGCACCTGGATATCGGCACTCTACTTCTTCAAGGAGTCATGCACCAACTGGCAGGTAATTATGAAGAGATCAAATGTTTACAAGAGGTATCTCAACTTAAAGGCTGGCAATAAATTTTTACGCAAGTACTGTTTCATTATGCGTTTTGTTAGTTCAATTTTTAATTTCTTAGCACGGATTTGAAACAAAAGTCGCCGATTTTGAGGGGTATCAAAAATGCCTTCTTGATTTTTGATCAATACCTTCCTTGAAGTGCTGAAAGCTACCGTTTAAAAGCCACCTACCGCAAACTTTATTGCCAAAATAAGATATTGATTGATTGTTTGAGCTGCTCAATGCAAAAGTGCAGGAAAGTTCCTATTTGGCTCTCCTATCGAACTAAATTTTTAAGCTTTTCTCCAGTTTCCCACGCTTCTTGTAAAATCCCAAAATAAAATTGTCTAAAACAGTTAAAAACATAACAAAAGAAAAAATATCACAAGAAAAAAATCACAAGGAAACTGGAAAACCAAAGAGCCCGTTTTTGTTTGTGTTATTAGTTGTAGCAGTGACAATTGTTTCAGCTGTCGCCGGCTCAGTCGCGTGAATTGAACAAGGAGTGTGTGTTGCTGGACTTCTACGACAACCACGACATTTGGCATTTCCTGTCTGCCATCTCTCTCTTCGTCTCGTTTCTCATCGTGCTCATTCTGGACGACGACCTGGACTCACGCGAGAGACACAACATCAAAGTGTTCTAGAATGTTCTAGAACAAATAACAGAATACTTGGGGAACATTGTTCTATTATGAAACAGAAAGAAATATTGGAGAAAAATGTCTATAATGAATCAGAATACAGCGAGAAATACCTGGAGCGCAACCGAAAATAACAAGAAATGAAGATGGTTCTTGGCTACAATGAGAAATAGTCAAAATTGAAAATGCATATGTTGACTCGAGGAAAAACCTATGAAGAGACTTGTGGCAGTCCAACTAAAAGCACATGGTAAATGAAGTGTGTTGTTGCCCACGTTCGAAAAAACCTGTTTGATTTTAAAAAAATGAATAATTTCATTAGTTCTCTTTAAAAAAAACTAATTTATTTTTAGTTACTCCTTGTAAAATACTATTCTTCGGGTTTTCTATCATAAGCAATGCGAATGATGTTTAATTCGCATTTAATTTCGTATTCGGATATCATCGTCTGACTTGGCCGATTCAGAGTTTTCAGTATTATTTGGTGCAAGTCTTGGCTTCATAAGCAAGCAACCAATTTATTTGTTTAATCTAAATTTTCTATCGTAGATTTTAATGATGCATTAGTATTTATAGATTACCCAGCAAATTTAGTGTTTCTGTACCCAGTAATATCACCAAGTTTTCAAAAATCAGCTTTTTTACTAAGCTATTTGTGATTTACCAGTTGGAAGTAGCAGGTCAAATATTGAAATTGATTACTCAAGTTAAAGCGACTACTTGAGTTGAAGCGAAGTGTTATATTGAGGAACCAAAAGACGACTGGCACTATTTTGCAAGAGAAAATTACTCTGAACACGTGACTCGTATAACGAAGCAATACATGTACAATGAAACGAGATCAGTTTAAACGGTTTTTCGATCAATTTTTATCAGCTATTTTGGAAGTAAATTAAAATTTTGATGACGGATTTTGTGGTCGATATTTAATTCTGTTGAATTATGAGGTTCGGTTATTTTTCTGGTATCCAATACAACCTAATAGCAAAAGCTACGAATAACTGTTTAAATTCAAAACTACCTTGCGTGTCTTAACTAAGTAACTTCATCAAATAGTTTGTTTTTTGCATTTTCCAACAACTCGTTTTTTTTTTTAATTTCGAGCAAAAAAGATGAGCGAGCAGGCTTAAAATATCTTAATTGTGTTTAATTTAAGCCGTAAAACCTAGTTTTACTCCAGTAAAGTTTGTTTTTGGAGTTAGTGCCATTTTCGAAATCAAAAACATGAAATTTTTTCTTAAATTCAGAACAATTGAAAGTTTTTTTAAATTTTTTTTTACAATTTTTCCGTTTATATGTATTTTTTTAAACAAAAACTAAGATATTTTAAGCATTCAGGCTTCAAATATCTTATATGTGCTTCATTGAAGCCGTAAAAACCTAGTTTTACTCAGGTAAAGTTAATTTTTGTTTGTTTGCGACTAGTTTTACTCGAGTAAAGTTTGTTTTTGGAGTTTGTTTGTGCCATTTTCGAGAAGGCTTAAAAGATCTTATATGTGCTACATTTAAGCCATAAAAACCTAGTTTTACTCAAGTAAAGTTAGTTTTCGGAGTTTGTTTGCGCCTAGTTTTACTCAAATAAAGTTAGTTTTTGGAGTTTGTTTGCCCCATTTTCGAAATATAAAACAATCAATTTTTCAAATTTGCCTATTTTGTTCTGGCTTTCGAATGTGCCTAAGGTCTAGAAAAAACTTTTTTGTATTTATTAAGACTATGTTCAGAAGATTCTGTGTTACTTGCGCAGTAACCGGCTCTCCTTGTTTTGTTTCGGATTTTTACCAAATAAAATCTCAACTCAATTTAAAAGAGCAAGACTGCTCGTATATCACGGCAAACCCTGAATGTTCCGACTGCAGTTTTGAGGTCAGTTTCATGTTTTTGGCTCAAAAAATGACAAAATAATCGACAAAAATTCTTCCCCTACACGCTATTTTGAACTACAAAGGGATGTATTTAGCGTTCTTCCTGGAAAAAAGACCAAGTATTTTTCCTCGATTCATAAAAGAATGCATTAATCCGCCGCTTACGCGTGTTATAAGAACGCAATATATCGCGCGTTAATTATCTCGAATTGGCCAAGTTAACAATTTTTACAATCCAGTAATCTGAAATTTGGCTACTTTATCAGAAACGTTTATAGTGTATTGCAACCGGGTCCTAGGCTTTTCCCCTTAGATTACTTTGGCACAAGATTCATCTGCATGGCCGAACATACCCGCTCAAAAGCAATATTTTGAGATTGTTTGTTTTTCAAAAACCGAATTTTTGTTTCTCAGCACATTGTTTCTCATACCAAGTTTTTGTACAAAAATTGCTTTTCATCTTGATTCTAGTTTTACGAACTCTATTGAACGATTTTGTACAATTTTTTCCGCCATTTTATCAATTAATTGCCATATTTGGCTGAATAGGTTTCATCGTGTGTCATATTGGTTTAGTTGCCTCATTTTGAATTTTCGATGAGTAATAGGTTTATATTCATTTTTATAGCTCATTTTTGACAACAATTTTTTCGGATAAACGAGCGTTTACCCTAGTAATGTCGGGTTAATTACCGTTTTGTATATTTTCTTAATGCTATCGTATATTTTTGCTTTCTTGACACTTTTTCCTTGAAATGAATTGAAACAAACATGATAGAAATATTTTGGTGATATATGTAATTTTTTTCAATTTGTTGGACTTTTTTCGATAATATTACGTGGGGGAAATGTAGATGTTTTTGTAAGTCGGCAACATTATCTTCGGAAAGTGTTGTCGAAGTTTTGTAAGTCGAACACAATGATGTTCCGAGCTCTCTCAAAACACTAACAGAACCCTATTTTGATAAAATTTTCTCGCCGCAATATTTGGCCAAAAATGACGTAATAAAACTTTTTTGGAAGGTTTTGGTTAAAAGTTGCGTTTTTTGAAAAAGCGTCCGTTCTACCTCTATCTACTACGGGTACAAATAAAAGAAAAGTTCTCCGTTCTACCCTTTATCTGCTATGGGTACAAATAATATATTAGTAGACACAATTTTGTCTGGACCTGTGCAAAAATCAGGATTATCAATGCTTCTCAAATAACATTCTTGGTCAGATTAACAATATTTTTCAGTACGGTTAACTATCAATATGTTAGTTGCAAACAAAAAATTCAAATGGCGTTTTTTCAAGTTGAATAGCTTTTTGTTCGTGCCAACAAAAGACTGTAGAATTTTGTATGAGCCGTTTTACTTGCCAGAATTAAGCAACAGCTATCATTTTGATATACCATGTTGAAGTCGTTTCAGTTGTTATTGTAGCTGTTTTGAAAAAAAATCAGTTGTACTTTTTAATGGCGAGCGGAGAAAGAAAATTGAGTTGTGAAACTGAGGGACTCCTGACGAACTTATAAAAACAGCTTAAATTATTTGAAAGGAAGATGTTAGTTAGTAATATTATCGTGTCGCTGAATTTTTGTGCACCGAAATTTTTTGAATCCATTATATATTTAAATGCGGGCTTAACTATCTCGCCACGCTTAAGCTTTTTCAATGTAATATTTTTGCGTGTTTAACAAGAGAATTTTCTCACGTTAAAGCGTATTTTGCAATGTTCAACAATTTTTTTCTCGATGTTCCAGTTTGAATTGAGTGTTTGTTTCACCGAGTTAGTGGGATGCTGCTAGGGTTCTTCCAGGGATCGCAAATTTGGCCTCCAATTTTCAGAAATTTTCAGAAAACTTAAATTTCAAAATAATTCACAAAATTTGAAATTCTCAACCTTATAATTGTGTACTGTGAGAATACTCTCAGGAGTTCCAAATTGGAAATCTTGCGTCCAATTGCGACTGCTCAATTTATTTTCTTTTCCAAAATCTTACGTTTGTTATCTCCGTGCTTTTTTTAAATTGTTTAAATAATTTTTATATCACAAAAATTGACGTTCCCATCCAGGGCTGGCAAATTGTTAAGAAAAAAAGATATTTAACATTTTAACATGTAAATTACAAAAAAAACATGTTAAATTGTAAATTATGTCAAAAATTATTGATTGAGCTGTTTGCTTCAAAGATTTTCGTCTAGGTTGTTCCTCACTGGAAGACTCCGGCAAATTTTCTGGCGCGGTGCATCCTTTTTCTACGTGTTTTTCCATTCGTGCCGCGTTGTTCACGAACTCGGTCCCGCACTTTTTGCATTTGGCACGTTTAACTCCATCAACATGAATCTCGCGAAATCGCGACCAAATACTGCCTTTCTTGCGGCCCATTTCAACCTCAAATAATGACAATGATGAAATACGTAGCTTACTTTAGACACTTCAATAACATCTGCCACCGGTTAAGTGTAAACAATGTTGAAAACAAGGTGTTAATAACTCTGTTAATTATCAAGTGTTATTAACAGCTGGTTATTAACTTGCCAGCCCTGTTCCCATCTCTTTAGTGTGAGGCTCAAGAGTTGCGAGTTTTTCCTCCAAATCTTACTATTAAATCCTTGTAATTTTCGAGATCTGACGTTTTTTGTGACTTTTTCAAAGTTTGAAATTCCCAACGCTGTAGTTGGGTACTGTAAGAGTACTCGTAGGAGTTGCAAATCTTCTGTCTAAATGAGACTGTTCAATTGCATTTAATTTCCGAGATGTGACGTTTCTTAATTTTTATAATATTTAAAAGAACTTTGATATAATAAAATTACAGTTTTATGCGTTTTCAAAAGTTGAATTAAAAAAACTTGAATAAAAAACCTTAACCCTGTAATTGGGCGCTGTCAGAGTACACTCAGATCTTATTTCCAATATATGCGGTTTTTTATTAGTTGATAAAAGTTTTGAGCACCGGAGGTGCGTTACACACTAGTTGTAATGAACTAAACGATATATTTTTTTATTTATTTACAAGTATCAAATGGAGACCAAATTATGTTCTGTGGCAACAAAATTAGAAATTGAGGTCGGCCAAATTGATGCTGGGAGTTCAGTTTGTAGAATTCCTAACGGAATTAAAAATCGCTGTTGGCATAGAAATTGTAAAAGCTGTGAAAAATAATAACGTACATAAAAATGTTCGATTGAGTAGAGAAAATATCGCTACCATTTCTCATCAAATATAACCATTCTATGGTTGCTGGTTTCAGATAATTATGAGAAAAGTGAGAAAATAAGTTGAGTATTATGGCACTGGTGAATCAACACGTTCCCAAAATCAGGCCAGGAGACATGGTGAGGTTCAACCGAGGTCTCTACTACCACTGGGGCGTGTGCATAGCCGAGAACCAGATGGTGCATGTAGCTCCTGAGAATGGAACCAAAGAAATCAACTCGTTAAACAGTCTATCTTCCCAAGGTTGACATTAAAGCTCAACAATATTTCAAAATGGAAACCTGAAAACGGGCCTTGTTGGCTTAATGGTGTTCTCCCAAACGATTCTAATTTGTATTTATGAATTTTAATAAATAACTTTGTAGCTAGATATCGTTTGGAAACAATTTATTATTATTATAAAACAGAGAAATATGTTTTTTATGATACCTTGTTATGATTAGTCTTTACGAGTAGCAAGCGTTATCAAACCGGAATTTAGACTTTTTTCGGGTTAGCAACTTGTTTAACAGAATTGATAGCAACAATAGCAATATTTATATCAGTAAATAATTCTAATTACATTAAATAGTTATAGATACAAGGATAGTCGGTTGCTGTGCATGTAGCACAGATTGTTTTTTTTTAAATATTTTTTGTAATTCAATTAAGTGTGGTTTAGAGTGGTGTGATGAGAGCTATACAAACGCGTATAAAGTTAGTGAATTAGGCAAATCGACAAAGTTATCTCAAAAAATTGAAAATCAAACAGAAACAAAAAAAACAAGGATAGCCGGTTACGGTGCAAATAACACAGAATGTTCCGACCATAGTCTTAAAACATACAACCAAGTTTTTTCAAATTATTGTCGTTTTTTTCGGCGTGGTGGATTAGGTATATCAGGTACAAAAAAACTGGGGATTAGGTATATTCGACATCCATGCTAAAATAAGCAAAACGAAAAAAATCAAATTCTTTGCAGTTTTTTGAATTTTTGAAAAGGCGGTAAAATACTCAAAGTAAACTAACGTTACCCCAGTAAAGCTATGTTTTTACGTTTTAAATGAAGCTTTTAAGCCATAAAAAGACTGCTCGCTCGCTTTTTTCGCTCGAAATCAGACGAAAAATCAAAAATTTCAAACCGGTTTTTCTCGACACTGGGAAAAATTTTGCTGAATTTTTAAATGTGGTTCGAATCACGACTGTAAGGGCTTTAATATGATATATCACTCAACCCAGTCCGATAATTGCTTAAAATACCTGATTTTGCATGGAAAACAAAAAGAAAAAATACTGAAACGCACTCGAATACAAAGTTCCTCCCCATTTTCAATGGTCGGAACAAAAATGTTTAAAAAATTTTTTTTCTATTTTTTCCACCGTGGTTTAACTTTTTTAAGAAAACTTTTATTGCCAAGGAGGCGCTAAACGAAGCTCCCAAAACTTGTTTTTCATCTATTAAAATCAAGTTTTTGATTAAAATGTAACGAACGTTATTCGTTCGCGTTACTCGTTCGAAATTAGTCTGAGTCTCAAAAAATTCAAAATCTGAATAATAATTGCAATTAACTTTTCCGAAACAAGCAAGCGAAATGCAGAGAATTTGTAAAAAAAAAACTAAGATCATTACGAATTTAAAATTCAAACCCGAAACTTGAGCAGATATACATATCACGTACTCACTCACGTACACCTATAGTCATATTGTAAGTTGTAATTATAGTGCATACATATCTGAAATAGAAATGACGTTAGTGCCATGTCATCTATCTGTGTGAGTGTGTGTGTTGTAGGCAACAAAGCAGTAGTGCGGATCGAGCTGATAGACAAGTGGGCCCATGAGGGGGACTACAGGACAGACAACTATCTGGACCACAGAGTCCAACCGAAAGACGTCGAGGACATCTGCAGCTTCGCCTTGCAACAGGTGCACCTTCGTAATATGCATGATATTGTCACAAATAAATTAACAAGCATGAAAGGGCGAATAGCCCAGAATGTCCAGCTAACAGTTATCGGTCTTTTCTATTTAACTCCACCGCCAAAAACCTAGTATCAAAAGATTATATAATCCTCCTGCAATTTAATAATACCATGATGGGGGGGGGGGGGGGGGGCTGTAATGGGAAAATCCCCCAGTTATCAAAGCAAAAAGTTGGAGGAACAAAAAATGCAGTTTTTCATATAAATTCAAGTCTTCCAAGGTTTGATTGATTGCGGCTTCAATAGTGGTACCACGTGAAAGTTAGACGTAAAAATAAACAATCTTGCTTTGCCAAAAAGAGCTTTGCTCATCAAAGTATTTGGGTAAGTAATGGAAGCGGAGTTGGCCAAAATTTTACCTTTTGTAGAAAGCTTCAAGCTGCTCTTTTGCTCGATTGATAACCTATTGAGCGATTGAGATTAGAACCTATTATCGATGTGTGTAATGTAATATTTCTCTATCTTCTTCGCAGGTGGATCATTTCTACTGGGTGTACGATCCAGTGAGCAGCAATTGCGAGAAGTTCGCCATCTGGTGTCGCTACAGAATAGACAAATGGGGCCGACAGGGGGAACTGGTCCGCAACATAGCAGTAGGCACTATGGCTGTGGTGGGAGCAGCGGCCATAGGGGTAATAGGTGCAGCTTGTATGGGCTTCAAAGCCATAGATGTCGTTTGTAATGGAGCGAACGGGAAAGACAGAAAAAGGAAGCGTATAGCTAATGGACTAACTATTGCTAACGAGGAGCACGATGAAGTTAATGCGAACTCTTAGCAAATTGTTCTGACTTAGATAGATTTGCCAAATTGACATGGAAGTAGCTTAGATACTATGACTGGTGCAGAGAAATATATTGTAGTTTTTTTTGTAAATTTTAGTTGAATTAATTTTTTCTAAATCATGGTTTTGTTTGCGAGGATGACACGTTGGAAGTCATCTGCATTATATCAGCGTACATATGAATTTTACCCTTCCATTCCACCTTTAGCGTATAAAGTATGAAATTTTTGATTGAATATTTTTCTGTCGATTACTTTGAACGTTAGGCACACCGCGAGACCAAATTTTGAGTTTGCTTTAAAAAGTGTCTGCTTTTAAAATTTTGTGTCTGCTTTAAAAGTTCTTCTGACTGGGTGAAGATTTTTCAAATTTTTTGCTGTCATGGTCATTGATACCATTTGAAAAAAAAAAGAATATGCATCTAAAGTCGCATGGAAAACGTTGAAAGCATTGCTTAAAATGTCATCAAATTTATTATTTAAAAACTCTGAAGCTGCAATATAAAATTAGCTGGATCAAGGAAAGACCGGTGATGGTTGTTCAGGCGAGTGAAGTTTGTACGATTATGTCAGTTCACTTTTTCCGTATACAAGTTATGAATTCCTATACGAAGTTTCCGCAGTACTTGAAACAGCAAGGGTATCATCCACTTAAATAAAACGCATGTTCAAAAATTTTTTTTGAACATCATTAATAGAGTTGTAAGTAAACTAAGAAGTTTCGTTGTAAAATTTTCTTGGGTTGAGGTTTCATTTCAATAAATTAAAATGGTCAACCATAATAGTCATGCTGTAAAAAACTTTTTGTTATAAAATCTGTAATAGAAAAGTTTCCCAATTTTCCCTAAACAGTTGCAGGAAGCAAAAGCGGAAGAGCAGCTGTGAACGAATTCCATGAAGGCCAAGAAATGCCCAAACCAAGACTGACAGCTAGCAAAACGTCCTTCTTCACGGTGCTCATAAAATTTTCCAACGTAAAAAACACGCTAGGTAAACCCAATAAATCTAAAGTGAAGGATGCTTAACATGCCCATATAGGAGAGGCATTTTTAACAGTTTGTGTATTTTCGGATGACACTCGTCGTTGATGGAGCATCTACACATTCTTTGGTTTCCTCATTTCAGGCTAGCCGCTTCAAGTTGATCGATGAGCCAGTCAATTTAACATTAGTGGTTTAAATGCCATAAATGTCATCAAAACTCGGAACGTCAAAGTGAAATTCTCGTTCAAACCAAGACCCGGCAATTTATTCTCCAGTTTGGAAGCTTTTTAAGACAAAATTCACATTGTTGTCGAATAGTTCAATATACTTAAGGCGCAGGATAAACACCCTCAGATAGCTCCTATGAAGCCCTTACAGTACAATTACGTTATCTTAAGAAATCATCAGTACCACGCCGTACGACCGGTTGAATTCCTCATAACTTTCACCCACCATTTTCCTCGTCTACTGATAGGTTGGGCCATTAGTGGTCCGTTTACAACCTTTTTTCGTGCTTCAAGTGTTTTGTTAAAAAATTCTCATTAACTGACTAGATAACGTCTTTGACTAAATTAAAATCTCATGAGGCCCTTTAACAAGTCGATGCCCGTCCCGCCAGGTATAAACGCGCTTTATTCATCATCAGTTCAGAAATATCCAGAAAGGCACAAGATACATCAAGCTTTGAGTTGATAACAATAACAGTCTACATGATAATTATTACTTATCACTTGCTCAACTTCTGGCTGCGGAGTGAAGGTTAAGTAAAGATTCAGAGTCGCGCAAAATGTAAGCAGTTACAAACATTTAGGTCATCACGAAAGGCCATTTCGTCACCGTCGAGCCGCTTGATCCACATTTGATAAATTTAAATAAGCTGGTAATGGTGTGCCGAGTAAGAAGCTCCTAATTTGCATGGCACGTCCTGAAACAAGTCACTGTTTGTGGGTCCAGATTTAGTCCGAAGCCTGATTTTTGTTCTATTGCACCAGAGATAGCACAAAAAAGCCGTTTCAGCGCATATTGAGGGTATTTTTCTCCAGCTAGGAGTCCTCGATCAAATTCAGTTTCACTTCGCTTTCTGTGGCGGAAGATCACAACTCCGTTGTTCATCAGTACTCTCGCCATATCTTCGGTTGCCGTTACTAACGAGCGTGCGGGAATGTCTATTTGTGGAAAACGGCTAATGATTTTGTGTCCGTAAACCCTGAATGGTAATCGATATATTTCATATGGATGTTTACTTGGAGTCGTTCGGTGACATTGAGCAAGCATTTAAAATTTGAAGAAGCTTAATTGAAGAAGTTTGTCAGCATTATTGAAGCAATAGCCGTAGCAAGGAACTCAGATGTCAATAAGAAAGTTTCACACACTGAACTAATATGTCATGATGAGCAATCGTCGCTAGTCTTAAGCCTTAAATGGGATCATGTAAAGGAGACATGGCTCGAGAAAGCGATATTTCAAGAAAAAGTTCCGAGTTTTGTGTCTTCATTGTATGGCCCTAGTCAGATAGTAGCCGTGTACAACATTTTGGCGTGTCTCTGCGTAAAGACACTTGGAGAAGAAAAAGTGGCGCCAAAAGGCATGATGATTTATCAAAAGATAGAGATAATTTTACTTGAAGAGCTCCGGCGTCCGTTTGTTCTGTCGAATTACCATTCCTCGCTGTTACTTCTCCAAAACAGGATTTCATTGAAAAGCACATGTTTGGTGATAGTTCGCAGGAAACTGTTGTGTTTTTAAGTGCGCGACCTACAAGCTTGCACAAAACCCAAATGTTTTTTGTCTTCAGTAAAGCTTGTGTTGCACTAGGGAAAGCGTCATCTACACTCCAGTTAGAGCTTTAAGCTGCTCTATTTGCCACACGATTGAAAAATGAAATGATGAAAGAACTCACAGTTACAGTAAATAACACCTTTATGTGGATATTTAACAATACTGTACTGCAGTAGCCTAACTCTGATAATAAATTGCTTGCCTTGTTTGGTAACAGCGTCGGCGAACTGTTCAAATTTACTACCATTGACGAGTAACAACTTGTTTTGACTTGCGATAATTCAGCTGATGCTGGTACGAGGGGGTTTCATAGGAAGCTCTCAATTAAAAGCAACAGCAAAATTGTCTCATACTCCCCGTTTTCTGTCCGGTAGTTTTTGGTCCACTGTCCGCAATAATTGTTTAGTTGACATCAATTTCAAAACTGAAGAACCCATTGTCCACTGAAAAGCCTTGCGTTACCAATGGAAAGCAAAAATCATTGGCGGTCAAACCGATTATCGGCAATTTACCGGTCTGCAGCCTTGGTTATAAGCAGCCAAATTTTCCTCCAAAGCTGTGGTTTATTTCTGACCATATTACGTTCCCTTTTGAAGAAGCAGCGAAGCACCGAGAAAAATGAGGGCTTTATTTTTGTTTTCCTTGCATCCAGGGCTATACATCTCTCGAAATTCTGTCATCACTAGATATCTGTCATCACTAGATATCAGCTCATGTGTGATGGCATCGAACGTTCCATTACCCGCCGCGTCACACCCAGTGCAATTCAATACTGGAACCAACTTTTTGGGTGCATAAAAAAAAAATTTCGCCTGTATCAAGAACTGAAACCACTTAGCTCCAACAGTCATTGGGGATAAAAGTATTTTCTGGAAGCTTAACCCACCCAGAGCACCAGACCATGACATCACTTGATGGCGCCTCGTCCGCAACTGTAAACGTGTGCTACACGATTAAGTAGGCAGTAGGTGGGTTAGAGAGGAAGTGCTGGGAACAGCACTCTGCTTAATAGAGCAGGCTTTGAACGCAAGACCATTCATTACGTTGAGTACCAACTCGCGAAATTTAGAAGCTTTGTCCCTCAATCAATCATGAGTAAAGGTACGTATGATCGCAGTCTTATGCTGACGCTATCTGGTTTCGTTGGCTACGAGAATTTTCCTTTGCTTATCAAACGTGCGAAGTGATACACTCAAACTGACGCTATCCTCAAAACGGCTGATATTGTATGGATGATTGAACCTTATTGCCCGCGAAATTATTACTCTCTCGCTCGCATTAATAAGTTTAACTACGAAAAAGGAATGCGCACGTTCCGCCTTTAGCAGGACAGCTACGAGCGAGCTCACCCGACTGACCGTGTATCTAGCTTCGAATCTTCCGGCTATGGATTGGAGGTTGCTTATAATCAAGTAGCTAGAGAACAAAATAATTGTTGGGCTAAGTGCAAATTTATTAAAAGGACATTGCCTAACGTATATGCAGAGTTCTCCAGCCGGTTCGGCGTGGATTTAAGTCAACCACCTACTCATGTTTTAGCATACTAAAAAGGGTTGATACCCTATTTAAACTACTTTTTTCTTTAGTTGGGTTCAAACTTGATTAGTTTTGACCTCAATTGGTCTCATACCAGCTGAAAAACAATTGTTCTCAATAAAACAATTGTTCTCATACTAGCTTTGAAACTTAAGACATAAGTTGTTGATGTTAAGATTGAGTGAAATTTTTTGAATTCACATATGGTCTACCGAGGAGTTGCTCTTTTTTTTCAAGTGTTTGAAAGTGATCATTTTGAATACATATTGAGATTGAAGCGATGATATTTTTTAGAGATGAGTATTTATCTGAAGCATTTCACTACCTCATGAACATGGGCTTTTAAGTTTTTTGTTCTAGAACAGTTTTACTTAGAAGATGTAAAGAATTTTTAGATAGGTGTCAAGAATATGATTTCGTTTCTTTGGGAATTGAGTAGCGCAAGAACCATTACTCAGAGTCGAGTGATGTAATGCGTAGAATGTTGTTGGAATCTTAATCGAAATCGTTGAAATACTTTGAAAACTCGTTAAGTTATGGAAAAAATTTTGCTCAAATAGATTGAAGAATCACTGAATTAATTTTCAGGTTAGTATTTTTGTAACTCAACAGACATATTTCTAATAGGTCTGCATTTTAACAAGCGTTTAATTCAAATTAATTTTTATATTGGTTCTATTTTTTATTTTGCCTGTATTTAGGTTAAAATGTACCAGCTCACGCTGTATCGGCATCCTTGATCGTTGCCTCCTATTGGAGAGTTTGATGGGTGAAAAAACTATTAAGCATGTATGAGATCATTTCTGTTCGAAAACA